TGGCGGAGTCCAACTCTCACCGGGAACAAGCCCGACTTACTGCCGGCGATGCGGACCAGGCTCTGACACCGGTCATACAGGGACCTAACAGCCCGTATCAAAGGGCCTGGTACCCCATACTCCCAGAGTACCTCCCACAGGGCCCCCCGAGGGACGCGGTCGAACGCCTTCTCCAAGTCCACAAAGCACATGTAGACTGGTTTGGCAAACTCCCACGCACCCTCCAGGACCCTGCTGAGAGTGTAGAGCTGGTCCAGTGTTCCACGGCCAGGACGAAAACCGCACTGTTCCTCCTGAATCCGAGGTTCGACTATCCGACGGACCCTCCTCTCCAGAACCCCCGAATAGACCTTACCAGGGAGGCTTAAGAGCGTGATTCCCCTGTAGTTGGAATACACTCTACGGTCCCCCTTTTTGAATAGGGGGACCACCACCCCGGTCTGCCAATCCAGGGGAACTTCCCCCGATGTCCACGCAACATTGCAGAGTCGCGTAAGCCAACACAACCCTACAACATCCAGAGCCTTAAGGAACTCTGGGCGGATCTCATCCACCCCTGGGGCCCTGCCACCGAGGAGCTTTTTAACCACCTCGGTGACCTCAGCACCAGAGATTGGAGGGCCCGACCCAGAGTCCCCAGGCTCCGCTTCCTCAGTGGAAGACGTGCCGGTGGGATTGAGGAGGTCTTCAAAGTATTCCGCCCACCGACCCACAACATCCCGAGTTGAGGTCAGGAGCACACCACTCCCACTATAAACAGTGTTGGTGGCATACTGCTTCCCCCCCTGAGACGCCGGATGGTGGACCAGAAACATCTCGAAGCCGTGCAGAAGTCGTTCTCCATGGCCTCTCCGAACTCCTCCCATGCCCGAGTTTTTGCCTCAGCAACCACCCGAGCCGCATGTCGCTTGGACTGCCGGTACCCATCAGCTGCTTCCGGGGTCCCACAGGCCAAAAAGGCCCGATAGGACTCCTTCTTCAGCCTGACAGCATCTCTCACCGACGGTGTCCACCATCGGGTTCGAGGGTTGCCGCCGCGACAGGCACCGACAACCTTGCGGCCGCAGCTCTGGTAAGCCGCCTCGACAATAGAGGCACGAAACATGGTCCACTCAGACTCAATGTCCCCCACCTCCCTTGGAACATGTTCAAAGTTCTCCCGGAGGTGGGAGTTGAAACTCTGTCTCACAGGAGACTCTGCCAGACGTTCCCAGCAAACCCTCACAATACGTTTGGGCCTACCAGGTCTGACCGGCATCCTCCCCCACCATCGGAGCCAACTCACCACCAGGTAGTGATCAGTTGACAGCTCCGCCCCTCTCTTCACCCGAGTGTCCAAGACATGTGGCCGCAGATCAGATGAGACGATGACAAAGTCGATCATCGAACTGCGGCCTAGGGTGTCCTGGTGCCAAGAGCACATATGGACAC